CAAAAATTTTTTTAAGAATTTTGCGAAATTTGACCCGGCCGGGTTATGAGAACCAATTTATTAAGTTTATACGGCCTTATTAAAATTTAGACATAAATTATTATTATTATTTTTTTTTTTTTTATTATTGTACGCATTACTAGTCAAATATTGTCATTATCATTATTGTCATCATATTTCATATTATTAAATATCGATAAATAAATTTAAGCTCCGTACATGATTTTGGTGGCGATACTAGGTGGGTCTGGAATATCTCAGAATTGAACTAGTTGATAATTAAATCAATTAGTTTTAAAATTTCTAAATAGACTTGTTGGAAAGTCGTCAACTAGTTGATTTTCAACTAAACGATTCGGATCACTATACACCCCAATGTCCCAAGTACTGTAGTGATGGGCCCTCCCGCATTATTAATAATTAATAATAATTATTAACTATTAGCGCGACTAGGATTGTAGCATTCGAGGTGGAAAATAAATGAACCTAAAATATGAGCAAGGTTGAGGCCAAAATTTTCAATAAAGTCCGAATTAAATGGTGTAATTTTAAAATCGGCTAAGCCGGTTAAGTTAGTAAATTTATTGGTTTAGTCATAGCCGAAAAATTTTGATTAGCCAAAATTACTACTTGCAGTATTGGTAGAAGAGAGCCAATTAGTAGTATCAACCAATTTTACGTTGCTGTATTTTTGGGGGCCGTCATGCAAAGATATGATTTCAAATGTTGGTCTAAGTTAAACGTAATTTAGGCCAAAACTCAAAATCGTGCTCATGGCATTATTATGGTAAAAAAAAAAAAATGTAACTTTATTGAGGGAAATTTTATATAAGCATTATATTAGTGGTTATTAAAAAAATATGATAGTGACTATAGGCGATTGTGTCTATATAGAGGTAAAAAATATTATAAAAAAAGTTGGTAAAAATATAAATGTTGATTATATTGATTTTGTGACTATAGAGGGGGTGACTATAAAGGGGTATGACTGTATTTATATGTAGTAAAGATATTTTGAACTTTTATCTGTAAATATATAGTTTTTATAAACTATCCTTTTATCTTTGACTTTTACTAAAACGAACCTACACCCATGAATACATTATCTCCAAAACTAGCTAATTAATCGGTGCGGGATGTTCTAAGTAAAAATTTTCTATACCTCAAACCCTTCCCAAACCCTAATTCTAATCCCAAAATACTAATCCTAATGTGAAAAATTTTGCATTAAAAATTTTATACAAAATATGTAAAAACTTAAAAATCTAAAAAAAACATGAGAAAGGTGCTGGTTTATAATACGTAAATCTGATCCAAATTTTTGTAAAAAAGGCTGCATATAAATAATAGTCGATATAATGTGATTTTTGATTTATGCCTAAGGTTAACGCTAATGCAAGCCAGAAATTTTGAAATTACCGATTTAGTTTTCTTTAGTTTAGAATTTATTTTTTTTTTGGACTGTCCAAAAATAAAAATCCTATCTTTCAAATATAAGTATAAACATACAACTTTATTGGTCAAATTCATATTATGATTTCGGACATAAGCGACCATGTTTTTTAAATTTCCTGTCTGGAGTCCGAAAATTCCCCCTTGACAACCTTAATACGTAGTGATAGCGACAAATTCCCAGTTTCCCATTTGGCGTACTCCATGTCGTGTACTCGAATGCATAATTTGGTTATTTGTACGTAAGTACGTACGTACGTGTGTGCACTTATTTGAAAAGGAAATTTGACTACGTATTCCGACATGAATTTCGAACACGTGTGAAAGAAAAAAAACCGAAAATACTCAACAACTAGTGTCTAACTCGACTTTGGTGCACTAATTAAAAATGTCGAGAACGAAATTTTACGTATATCGAATGATAATCTATTATTATAATCTCTAATGTTAATGTTTTAACCCTAAATTTCTATCTTTACGCATTTAGTTTATTCAAAAAATTCCACTTCCTTTTTTTTGTTTGTGTTACGTACGTACGTACGTATCCGTTGAGGAAATCCAATACGTAGTATTTCTATGCGAGTACAATCTTTAATGGAAAGTATAAAAGAAAGATTAAATGATTTTCGCCAATTGAGGAATTCTTGGAATTCTTTTGCTTTAACCCCTATTCATAATGACGGACCCGCAAGATACAACAAAATCTACCATTAATAATGATAATGTGATAACAGAAACGAATATTATAAATGTTGATTTACCAAATTCCAATGAAATATTACAAAATGATGTATCAAAATTAAATGATGGAGATAACAATGTAATAAAATATTCAAAAAATTTAGAAGTTGGTGGTAA